CTCGACCAATTGGGGGAACTTCAAATGAATTGGAGCAAAAATGTGTCTGAGATCAAAGAGAAATCCAGAATTATTGATACTCTCTGGGCTCAAGAGGAATGTTTCTGGCACCAGAGGTCTAGGGTAAAATGGTTACGATAGGGTGATGCGAACACCAAATTTTTCCATCAGTCAACTCTTCAGAGACGCAGACGGAATATGATTATAAAGTTAAAGGATGGTGAAGATTGTTGGGTGGAGAATCCCAACCATATTAGGAAGCTGGTTGACGATCACTTTCTGAATGTTTTCAAATCGGGGGGACCTCGGGACTGGGGAAACTTGCTGGAAGGCATACATAGTTGTGTTACTGGTGATATGAATCTGGCTCTCATGGAGTCGGTTTCCATGGAGGAAATTAAGGAAGCTGCTCTCCAAATGGGGGGTTTCAAAGCGCCAGGTCCGGATGGCTTTCAGAGGATTTTCTACAGGTCTTTTTGGGACATTGTTGTGGAAGATGTCAACAATCTGGTGAGGTCTTTTCTGCGTGATGAGATCAGCCCGACGGAGATAAATAACACCCATATTGTGTTGCTCCCTAAGATTCCGAACCCTGAATCTGCGTCTCATTTCCGACCTATAAGCCTATGCAATTATTCTTACAAGGTGCTATCCAAGGTTCTGGCAAACAGATTAAAGATCCTTCTACCGAAGATTATTTCTCCTACTCAGAATGCGTTTGTGGCAAGAAGACAGATACAAGATAATATCGGGATCACTCATGAGGTGTTTCATTATCTGAAAGGGCGCAAGTCAAAAAAATAAGTTTGAGTTGGGTATTAAAGTTGACATGCAAAAAGCGTATGATAGAGTTGAATGGGACTTCCTCGAGGCGACTATGGAAAAAATGGGGTTCTGCAGCCAGTGGAGGAAACTTATCATGGGCTGTGTGACTTCTGTCAAGTTTGCTGTCATTCTCAACGGGCATCCCGGCAACAAGTTTGCCCCTTCTCGAGGCCTTCGGCAGGGCGACCCTCTATCTCCGTATTTGTTCCTTCTGATTGGAGAAGTGTTATCCAGATTGATCCAAGCTGCGGTGGAAAAAAAGTCTTTGGACGGTATCAAGTTGGGAATCACATGGCCGGTTCTTTCTCATATATTCTTTGCTGATGATATGTTAATTTTTTTGAGGGCTAATGAGAAAAATTGCAGGAATCTTGTAAATCTCCTTAAGGCTTTCTGTGCTGCCTCGGGGCAGGAAGTTAACCTGCAAAAGTCCAGTGTTTTCTTTGGAGCGAATACTCCGGTGAGGGTTTCTGAGGAGCTGGGATCTATTCTGGGTATGCCGGTTCTTGACAACCCGGGGTCATATTTGGGTGTCCCGACCTGTTGGGGACGCTCAAAGAAGCAGGGTCTCGCTTATGTGAAGGGTCGTATTATTGAGAAACTTCAAGGGTGGAAGCAATGTACTCTGTCGAAGGCGGGCAAGGAGGTTCTCATCAAGGCGGTTGTCCAAGCTGTTCCTGCTTATCCAATGAATCTTTTCAAATTTCCGGCTGTGTTATGTGATGAGCTGGACACTTTGGTTGCTAGGTTTTGGTGGGGAACGGGGATGGGTGACAATAAAATTCGCTGGGTGTCGAAGAAGGTTTTGGGCCTCCCTAAGACTCTTGGGGGTTTGGGTTTCCGAAATTTCATGGAGTTCAACGATGCGCTGCTTGCAAAACAATGTTGGCGCCTGCTTTGTGACCCTTCCTCTCTATGGGCTAGAGTGATGAAGGCCCGTTACTTCCCCAATTGCTCCTTCTTGGAAGCCAAAAAAGGAGGCAGGGCCTCTTGGGCGTGGAGTAGCCTTCTATCGGGTCGTGATCTTCTTATGTAGGGAACTCACTGGCAAATTATGGGTGGTCAGGATGTGAGAGTTTGGGTTGACCGCTGGTTACCCTCCATTCCTTCGGGGCGCCCTTCTCCGCTGGGTGAGGTTGGGGTGACTAGAAACCTACGTGTTAGCTCTCTAATTTGTCCGCAATCTCGGGATTGGGATTTATCCTTTCTGAGTCCCTTCCTTTCTGTGGCTGATCAAGGGGCAATTGAAGGTACGCCTATTGGAGATATTAGTAGAAGTGATAGACTGATTTGGGCTGCAACAAAACATGGTAAGTACACGGTAAAATCTGGGTATAGATGGGTGCAATCTCGGTCTCTGAGTGCGAGAGATCATCGCCTACCTCATGTTCGATCCATCCCAGAGAAGTTGTGGAATTGTATATGGAAGATCGATGTTCAACCTAAGATACGCCATTTTTTATGGAACTCTCTGCATAATATTCTGGCTACTAATGCGAATCTGTACAGGAGGCGGTCTACCACTTCCCCCACCTGTCCTATCTGCTTGTGTGAAGATGAATCTGTTGAGCATTTGTTCCTCATCTATTCATGGGTTCAAGCTGTATGGTTTGGTGGGGCTTTGAATTATAGGATTAACAGGCTGGCTATTAACTCTTGGATTAGTTGGCTGCATGCTATTTTTAATCCTGATTTTGGTAATCGTTCTGAGTTGTTATGGACCCAAAGATTGGTGGCTTATACTTGTTGGCATATTTGGAAGGCCATGTGTGCTTTTGTGTTTAATAAGGTGCGTATCAACCCTGTAAATGTTGTTCTGGCCATTTCTAATTCTGTGGGGTCTTTCCTGGCTGTTTCCTGTGTCTCTGAAGTTGATCGGTTTCCGGAGAATGTTGGCCAGGTTCCTGGCAGTGCTCCGTTGTGGTGTCCTCCTCCCCCCCTTTTACGAAAATAAATGTTGATGCCATCTGGTTCAAGACGTCTTGCTTGGGTTTTGTGGGAGTGGTTTTACGCGACGCTGATGCTCATTTCATTGCGACTGCTCGTTACCACATTCGGGCCCCCTGTGCTGCAGCTGCCGAAGCTATGGCTTTGCTGCGGGGCTGTGAACTGGGTGCATCTTTGGGTCTATCTGAGGTTATTCTGGAATCTGACTCTTCCGAGGCGATTTCTTGCCTTTCAAATTCTATAGAGAATGGCAGTTGGGAGGCTATTCCTACTTTAGCAAGAGTAAAGCTCTTTGGGGAAACCTTCCAGAACTGTCACTGGTCTTGGGTTCCAAGATCAGCCAATACGGCGGCAGATGCTCTTACGTCGCGTGGTTGTGCGGAGCTGTGTGATGTTGTTTGGGTCGATAGGCCTCCATCTTCGCTTGTTTTCGTGTTAAATAATGATGGTCTTCCGTGTCCACATTAGCTGTTGGTGGTAGTGTGGGGAGTGACGCTTCAGCTTAGTTGTTGTGTCTCTGTTTGTAACTCCTTACGCTGCCTTCCTTCTTGAGCTTGTTGGCTGTTTGCCTCTTCGTAGGCTCTCTTGTTTTCTTCGTTGGCCTCTGTGCCCTGGAATGAATCTTTCCTAGCTTTCAAAAAAAGCATTAGTACACCAATCACTTATTTGGATACCCTTTTCATATTATATGCAAGAATTCTCAAATCGAAAAGTATTTTGTTATCCAATTGGGATAAAATAAATTCGATACAATGTTCACAATACAGCAATAAAGTGTTGATAAAAAAATGATTAATAATTTTTTTAAATTGAGAGAATATTTGCAGAAATTAACATTAATTGAGATGAAAAAATGAAGTCGTGAGAGACTATTTTGGTAGGGATGGGTATTAGGTGCCTCGGTTGGGTTGATTTTAATCCGTTGGCCAACCAATAGGCCTGGTAGGCTCTCGGATTGACATTATTGAAACCCAATTCCACCATTTTCATCCAAGAAAATGGACAAACCAATCAACTCAAACCATTATAAAGCAGGTTTGAGATTATTTACTTTCTTTCTTGTTTTTAAAGTGACCGTGAGTGACAAATAATCCAAAATGCATGTCATATTAGACTTAAATAATGTTAATTTGGTGTTGTTGAGTCCCTATTTGTTAATATTTGAATTTCATTATTTAACTAAATTTTAAATAAACAAGTGTGTTTAATAACTATTAAATTTTATATATGTCTATCTATTGTATGTTTAAAAATTATTGATATTCGAGTAGGTCAGATTCTATTATTAATAATACTTAAACTCAACCCAACCCGACCCACTTATTAAATGGGTAGTCTAATTTTTACTCAAAAATAATTTTTAGAGTTTACAACCCAACTAACCAAACCCATTTTGGTTGGGTTGGTCAGTAAAAACACTAAATTGTCCACCCCAAACTCTATGAAAGTGATTCAAATGAGATAGCTAGCATTGCATTAATTCACTAAATGACTAACGATGTAAGTTTTAAGTAAAATCGGGTGATAATTCTCGTTAATTAAATTGATCCAGTACACATTATTATATAACCTTACAAAGAGCTAAGATCAATGACACGACCATCTATCTAATCTTGATACATTGTGAAGTCCCAATGTATGAACGTGTGCGCGACAGACCGTAGTAGACGTAATGAGTCGAATAAAGCTAGGTCCTGAGGGAGACGGCACGCGCTTGAACTGCATGCTGGACATTGTATTCGCCAACATGATGACCTTTTATTACCTCAAGCCACGATAACCATAATTCGGTATCAGTGGTTTCCTGTCCTGCTATTCATCCGAATTCCTGCTTAGAGGATTGACATTGTAAAGTTGTCCAATGATCGTATGTGGAAAGCGTTTAGTCTCGTGTACCCAAGGAGTTTACGTGCAGATGCAAATAAGACTCGATTATATATAACGTTTCTTGCCAGTATAAATTGGCAATTAATTAAACATGGTTTGGCTAAGATTTTGACCTTGCTGATCATATGTGCCGGTATTTTCTATGTCCCGGTCGAGTAGAATCATCCTCTTTTGAACTTAGGTACTTGAATTCTGCCCATGTTAATCGTCTTCCTTGATCGGACTGATGATTCTACTATATACTTGCGCTAAATGCAGTAAGGAAACAATGCTAAATCCATGCCAAAGCTCGTAAATAATTTATGTAAGCTCAAGAGAACGTGGACAAAATGCAATAGCTTTTGAAGAAATTAAGGTTCAAATATACATGAAAAATAATTTGACTTGAAAATATGTTTTTTAATCAGTGTTTTAGGAATTGAATCAATGTTTTTGGATACTGGGCTTGGGCTGAGCGTTTAAAATAAGCCCAGCAGCATTTAGCTGCCCGAATTACTTGGGAGTGTGACACTATCCGGCTAACAGCCCACTCTCAACTAAACAACACCCAGTGCGCAATACGCACCCCCCTCAAACTCCAGTTCCCGCGCCAAAACTCCTCTGCTCCAACAGCTCTAACAAACTAACAACCACCGGCTTCCACATCACGCCTTCCTCGCACTCTCTCTCTCTCTCTCTCTCTCTCTCCCTCTTCATTTTCAAACCCCAAGAAAACTCCCTCCAAAGAAAGCTCCAAGAAGCCATGGCGGCGTGCTTCTTTCTCTCCCTTGCCGCCATCCTCTTCACCCTCTCTCTCCTCCCCGGAAGCACCTCGCTTTCCACCACCGTCGGTGCCACCTACTCCGCCAGCACCGCCGCAACCTACGCCGCCCCTCCCGCCGTCGACCGCGTTGCCCACGCCGTCTCCTCCCTCGGCCTCTCCGCGCTACGACTAGACGCCTCCGACCCCGCCATGGTCCGCGCCTTCCTCTACTCCAACACCTCCCTCCTCCTCACCATCCCCAACAAGCTCGTCCCGCCCCTCGCCGCAAACCGCTCCAACGCCCTCCGCTGGCTCTACATCCACGTCATCCCCTTCTACCCCCGCACCAAAATTTCCACCATCTCCGTCGGCAACGACCTCCTCGAGTCCTCTCCGAACTTCTCCACCTTCCTTCTTCCCGCCATCCGCAACGTTCAACTCTCCCTCAAAGACCTCGGCATCCAAAAGATCTCCGTCTCGACCACCTTCTCCTTCATCAACGTCATCACCACGGCGTTCCCGCCTTCCAATGCCCAGTTCCAAGAACCGGCCGTTGACACCGTCATCAGGCCCCTCCTCCAGTTCCTCCATGACACCAATTCCTCGTTCTTGATCAATCTCTACCCCTACAATCTGTACAAGATGCGCAGCGAGATACCGATCGGGTTTCCCCTGTTTCAGGAGCACCCATTCGGATTCCGAGACGACCTCACCACCGGCGTCCGGTACCGGAACCTCTTCGACATGATGGTCGACGCCGTCATCAGCGCCATGGCTGTCGCAGGATACGAGAACATTCCGGTGATCGTGACCGAGACTGGGTGGCCCAGCTTCAGCACCGACCCGGCCGAAATCGACGCCAACCCGGTTTACGCCGAGATGTACATCAAGGGGCTTTTGTGTCATTTGAGGTCCGGAAAGGGAACGCCGCTGAGGAGAGAAGGGGTTTCCGAGACGTACATTTACGAGCTGCTCGACAAGCAAGTGAAGCAGGGGCGCAATTGGGGGATTCTTTACCCAAATTTGACCAGCAAGTACAAGGAGATTCAGTATTCTGGGTCGGATTGCGGAGGTTTCTTTGATATCTTGATCATGGCGGTTGGGCAACTCTTGGTGTTTGCATTACTTGCCTGGTAATGTTGCTTTTCCGATTCAGTTGCTTAATTTCATTACTGGGTAGCTCGATTTGTTGATTCTTGGAGGGTTCTTAGAGATCTTTGATCCGCACAGTCGACTGTGAATTGGGTTCAATTACTTGCTTTGATTAGTAGGTGACTAGCACAGCTTTCGATTCATGGAGGTGCTGTTGCTAATTACTTAATTGGGTATATGAAGAAACTGTTGTTGATTACTTAACTGGTAATTTTGATTCTTAGATGGTCCTGGGGATTCAATTTGTTCAGTTTGGATTGCTGCTCAAAGGAATTCCTGTTTTTGTACTCTGTTTTTAGGGTATTTTGTATACGAAATGGTGGTTGTGATAAAGCCAATTGCACCACTAGTCTTCTTGTGATGAACAGAGTTTAGTGGATGTTTTTGCAGAGAAAATCGATGTTTGGATGGTTTGAATTTTTAATCTCAAAACTGAAAGTTAGCATCTTGGTTGGCTGCAATGTTTAATTGAAGATTTGTTGTGTGATTGTTGCAAGTTTCATGCTTTAGTTTCTTTTGAGATGATTGAATTCTGCAGATTGAATTGGATTGGGAATTTGGGTGTCATAAGTTCTGCAGATTGAATTGAAATTTTAATGGACCCTTGTCTAGTACTAGGTACATGGAAAATGACTAGCATCCTGTAAAGTCTACCTTTTTACTGCCCAATTTGGAACTTTAACGAAAAAAATTCGGTACTATTCATTTTAATAAAAAATCACATTTTTATACTAAAAAGTCAATCATGATATTATTCATTTTACATTTTATTTTATCATTATCGTTAAAACTCAAAGTTTTCAAGCTATTTTCATTAGTTTTTTTATAAAAATAATGTATATAAACCAATAACATGCAAAGAATAAAAAAAAAAATTAATGACACAATTATTCGTAAAAATGAAGAGAGTTATCATTTTATTAGTACAAGATAATTGAAAACGAAAATGATGTTTCAAATTAATGATCACAATAGGTCAAATATATTATAATTACAAATTTCGAATTGCATAATATGTTGTGCCCAAGATTGCTAAACCTAATTGTAGACATCGAAATTTCGGTAAATAAATGTTGACGGATAAATCAAAGTTTCAACGCTCATGTATTACATAAATTTTACACGTAGCGTGTGTTTAAACAAAAAATCGAAATAGTTGGAAAAGTCATCAAACAGGACACGTGTCAACACCTGGCAGAAACGACTTATTTCATCTGGGATATTATATTCAAAATTAGGCCTTGGAAATTTCTATAAATAGAAGGCTAATTCATTCATTTAGGGGAACCAAAATCATTAGGCAAAATTCTTGAAGCTCTGAAACTCTGAAACTCCGAAGCTCTCAAGTATCTAGGTTCCCGAAGAATCAAGAAAGCTCTCTTCGATCTTCGATCTTCGTTCATCGTTCATCCTAAGATCAAGCCCCAACGGCCCTTTGGATCAACAATCATCCACCTTCAAAATCAAGCCCTGACGGCCCTTGAAGAAAGTGTTCTTCGTTTTTCGTTCTTCGTTCATCGTTCTTCCAAGATCAAGCCCCAACAGCCCTTTGGATCAACAATCTTCCACCAATTCAAGATCAAGCCCCGACGGCCCTTGAAGAAAGTGTTCTTCGTTCTTCGTTCATCGTTCTTCCAAAATCAAGCCTCGACGGCCCTTGGATCAACAAACCACCGTTCTTCAAGATCAAGCCCAAAAGCCCTTGAAGATCCGTTCATCACTGTTCTTCAAGATTAAGCCCAAAAGCCCTTGAAGATCCGTTCATCACCGTTATTCAAGATCAAGCCTTAACGGCCCTTGAAGAAACACTCATCCTCAAGATCAAGCCCCAACGGCTCCTTGAAGATCCGCTCAAATCCACCTTCAAAGATTAAGCCCATGGCCCTTTGAAGAAACTTCCAACAGTTCATCCAAGATCAAGCCTCGACGACCCTTGGATCAACAAAACATCCACAAATCAATACCTTACGGAGATCGAATCAGAGGATCAAAATAGAGAGAGATTGTAACCCTAAATCATCAAATACACAAATATTATTTTGTGCACGTTGTTCTTGTCTCTTTCGTTTCAGGAATTTTCCGTGTTCACAAATTGGCACGCCCGGTGGGACAATCTCTACCTCTCATCTCTTTCTCCGTTCAAGAAATTCGAGCACACTTCCAAAATTAATGGCATCAAGGAAGGCTCAAACTGTTCCCGCAACTGGCGCAAATAACAAGAGCGTCATCGTCGCAAGTGGTGTCCCTTTAGGCATCACGACTCGAAGCAAGGCAAGAGCTACTTCTGCCGCCTCTTTCACCTCTGCATCAACTCTGCCAAGGGAACAAGAGCACCTAAGGCACGAGCCTTTGATCACCTTAGCCTCACCAAGGGGCGAAAATCCAAGGAAATACTCCGAATCCATGCTCTCCAATGCCGATTCGAGCGGCAGTTCAGCCATGCAAGTCATGACCATTGGAGCAACTTCAATCGATGAGCAGCTGGCTCAAATGAATGAAGCAATCGCAAGGCTAACCCGAACTGTGGAAGAAAAAGACTTGCAAATCACTGCACTCGTCAGCCGACTGGAGCCACAGGACGACGATAACCCTAACCCAGAAGAGGAGCCTCTAGTGGAGAATATCGATGTGAAGCCGCAGCCAGACCAAGCAGCGGCACTCATGGGATCTCTTTCTATCCAGCAACTGCAGGAGATGATCGCCAGCACCGTCAAGGCACAGTACGAAAGGAGCTCAAATACATCCGGGTTGTACTCAAAGCCGTATTCAAAGAAGATCGACGCCTTAAGGATGCCGAAAGGTTATCAACCGCCAAAGTTCATGCAATTCGATGGAAAGGGAAACCCGAAACAGCACGCGGCCCACTTTGTTGAAACTTGCAACAACGCAGGGACCGAAGGGGACTACCTCGCCAAGCAGTTTGTGCACTCGCTGAAAGGAAACGCCTTTGAGTGGTACACGGACCTAGAGCCTGAGTCCATCAACAGCTGGGAGTAATTGGAGCGGGAATTCCTCAACCGCTTCTACAGCACCCGCCGCACTGTGAGCATGCTAGAGCTAACGAGCACAAAGCAGTGGAAGGACGAACCAGTCATTGACTACATCAATAGATGGCGCACTCTAAGCCTCGATTGTAAAGACAGGCTCTCGGAAACCTCTTCAATCGAGATGTGCATCCAAGGCATGCAATGGGGTTTGCAATACATCATTCAAGGCATTAAACCACGGACCTTCGAGGAATTGGCCACTCGCGCCCATGACATGGAGTTAAGCATCGCCTATCATGGGAAGAAGGAACCGATCGCCGACTACAAGAACGACAAAGTTCTTAAGACAAAGGTGGAGAAGGCTGCATGGAAACCCACCAAGGAAGCGATGACGGTCAACACATCTCCCGTCAAAATCTCCACACGAGGCAAGGCGATTCAAATCGAAGCTTTTCGTGATCAAGAGATGCGTAGACGCACTTTGAAGGAGCTTGAGGAGAAGACTTATCCATTCCCCGACTCTGATGTGGTTGCCATGCTGGATGACCTGTTGGACAAAAAGGTGATCGGTTTGCCTAAGTGCAGATGGCCGGAAAAGATGAATCGTACCGACAATCCAAGGTACTGTAAATTCCACCGCTTCATCAGTCATCCGACAGAAAAATGCTTCGTGCTGAAAGATCTCATCATGAAGCTGGCTCAGAAAGGAATCATCGAGCTAGATCTTGACGATGTGGTGAAGTCAAACTATACCACCATCACTTCTGGCTCTTCTGACTCAAGGTTTTTACCTCAACCGTTGGGGGCATCCTCCAAGACAAGCAAAGTTGAAGGATGGACTCAAGTCACTCCTAAGAAATTGCACAAGAAGTGTATGTCTCCTCCACAAGTCCGCCAATCGGAAAGGGGGCAAAACAGCTCTTGTCAACCTTCAAAGCAACGTGAACGGGTTGAAGATGATGAAAATTTGACACATAGGTCGTCCATCCCCATCACGATGCACGATTTCTTTCCTGAAGACTTCTTCAATCACTCGGTCAAGACTCATTGCTATGAAAATTGCAAGGAAAGCCTCTACAGGATCGTTTGACAAATTCACAAAGCTCCTTGTCCACAAGAGCCTAAACTGCAGGACACCCAAGCTCCTGGTTTGCACGAGCATAAAAGGCAACATCAACGCTCCTGGTCTGCACGAGCATAAAAGGCAACACCAACGCTCCTTGCCTGCATGAGCTGAAACTGCAAACGGCACAAAAAAAGAAATACCAAAAAAAAATATATGTATGTATTTGAACTACGTTACGACTTGATCTCTTCTTTGGAGGGGTACGTAGTCAGCTCGAATGTTCAAAATTTTCGAGTTCAGTCACATCAAATTAAAAAGAATCAATGTTTTATTAAAGAAGGTCAATTTTATTACAAATTTATTTTGTTAAGAAAATTTGCAATTTTCTTTGTAAAAAATTAAATTACACTTTCTTCGAAAAAAAAACAAAAAAAATAAAAAAATAAAAAAAAATAAAAATAAAATCAGAAGATGGAAGCTTTTCTCCGCACTCGGCCTACTGGCCTGCGATGCCAGGATCCATGCCAGCAAAACCCTAATCACCATAACCACGTGGCGGTGGAAAAGCAAAACAACATCAAACACAAGAAATACAAGCAGCCGAGATCTCAGGTGGGAGGCGGAGGAGAAGGAGCATCATTAGTCATTTTCGAAGCTCGAGCACCATGGATGCCAAGTCCGTGTATTCCTCATCGAGTTCAGGGTTTCGAACACCTCCTCCTTATAGCCACACACATATTTCATTTGCTGCCAGCACGAAGGCTTCAACCCAATCTCAAGGGTTACGGCCTGCCAGTAGCAATCAGTCTTCATCTCCTCCGGTAATGGTCGGTTCACCCACAACCACAACCTCATCAATGGCTAAGAGTGCTGGTGGAAGCCCCAGGATAACTAGTTCGACTTCCACAGGAAATAAAGCTGGCCAAGTATCGTCTTTGTTATCTCAGCAGGCCAAGAACTCACCAACAGTGCCCAGTCAGAAGTCGTCTCCTGTTGGCGGGAGGAATGTCCCTTCGATCATAGGCCCACTCCACCACAACAATGTTTTTTGGGCCAACAATGGTTTCGACATCGCCGTCAGGCTCTTGGAGCCCATCAAGCAAAGGGTCTCTTCCTCTCTTCCGCCTGCAACAGCAAGAACCACGCCCAAGTCTCCATGGCTTCTCCCAGAGAGAGCACGACATCACCTTCTTCAACCCTTTAACCTTTATCGTCGGCCCCAACGACGACGGCAAAATCATCCTTTCCCGCAGCACCCGCTACATCTCATGCGTCCCACCGGTGCTCTTACTCTTCCAAATCCTCGTAAGTAGCCACGATGTCCACACTTCCAAGATTCAATCGCA